GTATATGCACTTTATATGAATGGTTTGACTACATGGAGTAGACATTATTAATATAAAAACACTTTTAGAAATATGCAACAATTCTTTTCTCGATACCTTGTTGACATTCCATTTTGTCTTAGTATTTTCGTTTCGCATCTTTGTCTTTTGTTTTCCTCATTTCTATCTATTTGACTTCCGCTATAGCTTGTGTTATAATTGTACAACCCTTTTCAGTTAGCACATTTTTTATATTACCGTTTTATTTTTAAATAATTATCCATTGCAAATGTATCAAAGTTCAGAGCATCAAATCATGCATTAGTGGATCTTATACAATTCAAATTCAGGATAAAGTATTTTCTCGAATCTACTGAAGCCGTGAAATGAATCTTTCTTGCCAGAGTAGAAGTCGAAATTCATGAATGATTTGCACTATGCTAATTATACACTGTAACTCTTAGTATAGAATCCACCTTCCCATTTTGTTGAAACGATCCCTCTTCTTCCTGCGAACTTGTTAATTTTTTATTCCAAGCTATTCAATATCATACCAAATGAACCTTCTTTTATTAGATTAAATATACAATGAAACACTAAATGATTTATACCAAAGTTTTGTATTTGTTTAAGTATGTGAAAAATTAAATTTGTCCCAATTTATGCTTCTTCATCGGAACGCGGTTTGACAGTCTTTTCAAAGGTTGTCAGTAGTCGATGGTTTGTCCCCGGAGCATTTTGGTCGGCTTCAAGTTTCGCTGCTGTATTGAAAAACTTTTGCTAACCAAAGTGGTTGTGGAAAGGTTTTTTGTTTGTTTTGTTTCCTATGGTTGGCGACAGTTCTCAGACTGATTGGCGACTGATTGGCGACTGATTGGCGACTGATGAGCGACTGATTGGCGACTGATTGGCAACTGATTGGCGACTGATGAGCGACTGCTTGGCGACTGATTGGCGACTGATGAGCGACTGATTACCGACGGGGTCTTCATTGTGTGACGTTTTTTTTTCCTGGCGATATTTGGTTGAGAAAGGTTCGACAGCTGATCAACAAATGATATACGATCCCGATACGACCACTCGTCGATTAATCTGCAAACGTTCGCCAAATGCTAACAAGCTACAAAAAGTGTAACTTTAAAAACTTAAATATTTCTATTATTCCTTTTACTGCTGGTTCGTAATTTTTTTAAATAAGGGAAAAAATTGTATTTATATCAATCGCTTACTTGTTTTTATCTACTTAGATCATGTTATATTCTGTGAGGTTTGAATCAAAACATTTTTTTCCTGCTGTAACAGCCTGGTAAAAAGCCTAAAATTTGACTTCAGTAAAAAAAAAAAAACTAATTAAAGTCTGATAAATCCATTCATCCATGTTACATAAGCTAATGTATATGGATACGTCCATCCACATCATAATACAATTTACTCCCAATATTTGGTTTTAAAGATTTTCACAAACAATGATGTCAAGATAATATTTTCAACATAGACATTTTGCATTATCAAAACTGTGAGTTGCATCATCATTTTCATTTGTATTAACCAGTTTATAGCCCAGATACAGTATAGTCACATAACACTCTTTGACTTCTTTCCCTCAAGGTAGCCAGTTAAAGAAAACAAAGATAAGAAAATATTACTTTTTTGTGAAAAATACAAAAAGGTGTACACAACTTTGGAAGCCCCTAAATAAAAAGTCATGACCTAGATGATTTTGAAATCTATTTCACGATGATGGGTAACTTGTTTCTGTCCAATGATACCATATTCATAATATTTCCGCCGCAAGTGACTGAGCACGAGGGTCTTTAAAAAGTGATGTCAAAATCGCCTTGTTCCACGTATGGGCTGATGGGACGAATGTGGGTCAGGCCATAGGCATATACTTCTTTGATCTTAAATCCTTTTAAAAGTTAAATTTTGCCTCGTAATTCTTTGCTTTATTTTTTAAAATGATGCAATGTATCTAAACGTTAATAGAACCTTGTTTCGATCAATTGGATGACCTTTAATTATTTTGAACAGCCTACTATAAATAAACTTCTTCTCTCATGAAATCTAAGTTCTCTCTGCTCACTTGTCCACTGTGCCATTGCACATGAGTCAGGAGCATAAGGTGTTTATCTCGAATAGCGAATGGAAAATAAAAGGTTACTTTACAAAAATGCAAAAATATATATATAAATACATATATGATGATAAGTATCAAAAAAATTGAAGGTAGACTTTCATGAAAAAAAGATAACATCTCAAACAAACTTTATTCTTGCTGTATCAGTCAATGAGAAGGGTTACCTTGGGATCCGGTAACTTTGTCCCAGATTCTGAAACAAAATCCTGGATTTATCTCATGCTGCAATGATAATTATAAACCTTTAGGTCAGTCAGGAACCCCATGAGTTTTACAAGCCGATCGCCTCTCTGATTATCAAGATATTTATGATTGGAAATCGAAACCAAATTTTGCGTTTGCCAAACGGTTTTCATAACACTATAGTCTATTGGGGAAAACAAG